CGGTGCTCTCCGTGATTGCCCTCGGCTTGGGTCTTCCACATCCTTCTTGTAAGGCTTTAACATGCTCACGTGGAAGACTGGATGGATCTTGAGTGTTGGTGGGAGATTGACCCGGTAAGCAACATTCCCTATCTTCTTGATCACTAGGAACGGTCCCTCATATCTTCGTACTAGTCCCTTGTGCAAGCTCCGAAAGGTCTTGAATTGTTGAGGCAATAGCTTCACAAAGACTAGGTTGTCTTGGGAGAACTCTCGCGGATGCCTCTTTGTATCGGCCCATTTCTTCATTCTTTTACGGGCCCTCTCCAAGTATGAACGTTCTAAGTCTGCCTGTTCTTCCTAAGTTTTGATCATTTTTTCTACCCCGGGATTCTTCCCATCCTTTGTAGGTATGACAATTGTGTGAGGAGTAAATGGTTGTCGTCCTGTGACCACCTCAAATGGGCTTCGCCCAGTTGATTCACTCCTCTGCAAGTTATAGGAAAGTTGGTCCACATCAAGCAGCTTGGCCCAGTCCTTCTGGTTAGCGCTTACAAAGTGCCGTAGATAGCACTCTAGTAGCGTGTTTACCCTCTCCTTTTGCCCGTCGGTCTGGGGGTGGAAGCTTGTTGAGAAGTTAAGCTCAGTACCTAGGAGCTTGAAAAGTTCCGTCCAAAGTCGCCCAGTGAAACGCGGATCCCTATCACTCACAATACTCCTTGGTAGTCCCCAGTGCTTGACCACATTTTTGAAAAATCCACGGGCAGCTTCCTCGGCGGTACAGTCCTTGGTGCATGGGATAAAAGTTCCGTATTTTGAAAATCGATCCACCACGACCATTATTGACCCGTATCCCTCGGACTGTGGTAGGGTGCTAATGAAATCCAGCGTGATCGACTCCCATGGTCCTGCAGGTATTGGTAATGGCTCGAGTAGTCCCGCTGGATGCTTGTTTTCGACCTTGTCTTGTTGGCACACGAGACAGGTCCTCACATATGTTTCCACATCGTTCGTCAGTTGGGGCCAGAAGTAGTTGGACTCGAGTAAGGCTATCGTCCTTCGTTGCCCTGGGTGGCATGCCCACTTGGTATCATGACACTCCTTCATGAGATCCCGTCGTAGTCCGTCCCACTTTGGCACAACCAGACGTCGTCCTTTTGCATAGAGTAGTCCGTCCTCTACCCAAAATCGTTGGGTCTTGCCTTTCTTTGCGAGCCCCATGAGTGCCTTCGTGACGGGGTCCAGTTCGAGCCCTTCTCGAATACGGGTAAGGACATCCCCGTCGGTTTTGCTGATGGCGGCAAGTTCAGCCTTGCGGCTTAGAGCATCGGCCACCACGTTCGCCTTCCCTAGTTTGTATTCCAACGAGTAGTCAAACTCAGCCAAAAATTCCTTCCATCTGGCTTGCTTTGGGGAGAGTTTCTTCTGGGTCTGGAAGTAGCTAGTGGCTACGTTGTCTGTCTTTATGCTGAAGTGCGCCCCTAGCAAGTAGTGGCGCCACACCCTCAAGCAATGGATGATGACTGTCATCTCCTTTTCTTGCACCGTGTAGCGTCGCTCGGTGTCATTTAACTTTCAACTTTCGAACGCTATTGGGTGCCTTTCTTGCATCAATACTCCCCCAATAGCAAAGTCAGAGGCGTCAGTGTGAACCTCAAATGGCTTAGTGAAGTCAGGTAATGCTAAGACAGGCTCCTGACTCACGGTGGTCTTGAGATCCTCAAATGCTCTTTGACATTCATTGGTCCATTTCCACGGCTTCCCCTTCTTGAGTAGGTCGGTAAGCAGTGCGGCCCTCGCCGAGTATCCTTGTATGAACCGACGATAATAGTTGACCAGCCCTAAGAAGGATCCTAACTCGGTAACTTTGGTGGGAGCTTCCCATTCCATGATCGCCTTCACCTTTGCCCCGTCCATCCGGATCTTTCCATGGCCTATGACATGTCCCAAGAAGTTCACCTCTTCTTCGGCGAAAATGCACTTGGACTCCTTAACATAAAGTTCGTTCTCCCGGAGTACCTTGAATACAGTACGTAAGTGGTCAGCGTGCTCCTTGAGCGAGTTGCTATATATAACGATGTCATCCAAGTAGACCACCACGAACCAATCTAAGTACGGATGGAATATCTCGTTCATGAGTGTACAAAAAGTAGCTGGGGCATTCGTGAGCCCGAAGGGCATCACTAACCATTCATATGACCCATACCACGTAATGCACGTGGTCTTGGGTTCGTCTCCCTCGGCGATGCGAACTTGGTAGTAACCCTTCTGTAAATCCATCTTGGTGTACACTCGGGCTCCCCCAAGTCGATCAAATAAGTCAGCAATCAAAGGGATGGGGTAGCGATTCTTGATAGTTACCTTGTTGAGTGCCTGATAATCTACGCACATGCATAGTGTTCCATCATGCTTCTTTTGGAAGAGTACGGGTGCGCCATAGGGGGCCTTGCTCGGGCGGATTTTCCCGGTCTCTGTGAGTTCCTTGAGCTGCCTCCTCAATTCCTCGAGCTCAGGGGGAGACATGGCTGGTGGCTTGGTGCCTGACTCCAACTCAATCTTGTGATCCACACCTCGCCTTGGTGGAAGCTTGCTTGACAACTCAGCAGGCATGACGTCCTTGTTCTCCTCAAGGACTCCTCGGATAAGGGAGGGCACCTTCGGGGATTCCTCCTCATTGTTGTCCTCCTTTAGTACTGCCAAGTAGGTTGGCTCTCCTCGCTTTGCCCCCTTGGCAAGCTGCATCGCGGAGAGTTGCTTGCTAGCACTCTTTTTGTCCCCTTCTATAGTTGGAACCATGCATGGAGAACCCTTCTCCAATATACAAACAGTACTAAAGGATGACATTGGTATAGCTGTTACCTGTCGTAAGAAGTCCATGCCGAGTACCACCTTGAAGTCGTCCATGGGTGTTATTGAGAAATTCACTCGTCCTTGCCATGTCCCTAGGCGCAGACTCACATTGCTAGCAATTCCGTCGAGTCGACGAGCATTGGCATTGACAGTCTTTAACCATCCAGTTTTCTCGGACCAAGATAGTCCTAATCTTGCAACTTCCTCCTTGGTAATGAAGTTGTGACTGTCTCCTATATCCACCAGAGCCTTTGTTGGAGTCCCGTTAATATGCGCTTCCACATACATGAGCCCCTTGCTAGACGTGATGCGCTCAAGCTTGGTATTGAGGGCATTGAGGAATTGCAACGAACCTATCATTGTTGGCTCTGCCTCCTTAGTCTCAGTCTCGGACTGCTCCATGATGGCTGAGAGGGGCCCTAGCTTTGGACAATCCTTCATGGCATGTGGCCCCTTGCACACGAAGCAGCCTCCCTTAGGGACAAACGCTTGTTTCTTCTCCTCATAGCTGCGGCGTCCGAAGTTTCGATCCTCCTTGGCCGGCGCTCGTCGCTGGTCTCGGGAGTCTCGGTTCTTGTTGTCCCTTTTATCTCCCCCACCTTTGGCGAGGTACTTCTTGTCTTTCTTGGTGGCATCTGAAGATGAGGATAGGTAGAACTCGATTAATGACTCGGCAGCGGCAATTGCATCATCAACGGTCTTGACACCTCGACGTTGTAGCTCTTGCTTTGCCCAGTGTTGGAGTCCGTCCATGAAGAAGAAGAGCGAGTCGTCCTCTGTCATGCTGGGAATTTGGAGCAAAAGGGTGGTGAATTCTTTGACATAGTCACGGATGGTCCCCTTCTGCTTCAGCTCCCGCAATTTCCATCGAGCCTCGTACACCATGTTCTCCGGATAAAACTGTCGCTTGAGTTCTTTGACAAAGTCCTCCCATGTGTCTATCCGGCACGTGCTTCGTTCGATATCGTCGTGCTTCCTGCACCACCATACACATAACAGTATCAGAAAGATAAAGGGAAGCAGGCTTTACCTTGGTAGCTTCATCCGTGAGACTTATGCCCTCGAAATATTGTTGCATCCTCCATAAGAAGTTGTCAACTTCTTTGGCGTCCCTTACGCCATTGTAGCCTGTCGGCCTCAGACACTCCACCCTTGGTGCGGCCGTGGAGTTGCTAGCCTCCCCACTAGCAATCGCCTTCTTGCAAACAGTGAGATCCTCACGCATCCCCTCGATGCTTGCTTGGAGATCCTTCACAAGGTCCTCCAGGTGATCCAAACGGTCCTCCGTGGAGCTTTATGCATCGAGCCCCTCTTGGACAACACCTTTGACGGACTCAATTTCCTCCAAGACGTGTGTCTCCAACGTTTTGAAGGTGAACTCGACCCTTTCGAGTTTCTTAGTCATTTCCCCAATGACTTGGTCTAACGGCGAGACCTCTGCCCGAACTCGGCTTTGGTCCCGACGTTTCTTGTCCTTGGTTCCGGTGGTGTGTTCTCGCCCTCAGGTTTGCTCTTCGCTTACGCTTGACCCTGACGCATTATGTTCCTTCTCCCTTGCCATACTTACACGGTACCGAGCGTTGCTCTAATACCACTTGTCATGTCCTTGTTTCTCTAACTTGGTTGCATGCGGCCTTAGCCTCTCGTGCGTCCTTCGCAACTAGCGAAGTCAGCCTCACCTCACTCGGGATCGTGCTCGGTGTGTGCAAGTGCTTTGGCTAAAGAAAGCGAGAAAGAGAACTTGAAGGGAAAATGCTTCTATTATTCAAACTCTAGTACAAGTGAGCTCTCAAAGCTTGGATGGTTTGCAAATGAGGGGGGTCTCCTCTATTTATAGGCATCACCTCCTCTAGGGAATTCTCTAGATCCTTCAAGGGTCTTGGTCTTTCTAGACCCTTCCACACAAATCCTACTCTTTCTACACATGTCCTAGAACCTTCTACACAACTCAAGATGATCCTTGCCCTTTCTACAAGTCTCTACAAGGTTCTAGGATGTTCTTGTCCCTACTACAAATATCTACATAATTCTGGAGCCTTCTAGAAGCTTCCAGTCAAGTCTAGGTCTTTCTAAAGGCTTCCATATACAAGTAACTAAGCTTAGCGCGAAAGAAAAGGCGGGCAAGACTCGTTCTTGCTCGTGTGCGTGCAGGGAGTGATGCAGGGCGTTACATGCAGGAGATGAAACCTAAACCTAAGGAGCCACAGGTGATAAAACGTAAACCTAAAGCACCGCAAGTGAAGGGAAGAACACACTGGTGGCGGTGCGACAAGTGAGGATGATGGTAGTGCGCCGCACGAATGAGATGATCACAAGTGGCTAGGGTCCGAGTAAGGATGAGGCCGCGGAGGCTAGGGCCGGCTCACGGTGGCTTGGGGTATGGCGGAGGTGGTGCGAAGCGCAGTGATTCCAACCGAGGCAATGAAGGTAGTTTCACTGCAACTAGGTTCGAAGAGTGAGGGTCACGGGGATGGGTGGTCTAACACCCGTGGTGGAGGTGAGCTTGTGGTGGCTAATGATGGGTCGACCGTGGTGGTTGGAGGTGGCTATCAGAGGGGGAGTGAGAGTTGGAGAGTGGAGTGAGAGGTGATGGTGAGGAAGGATGAAGGAGGCGCATGTATGGGCAGAGATGGCGGGTTGCAATGGTGTGGTGGTGGCCGCCGGTGGTATGGTGGGCTTACTGTGATGGCTAGCGGTGAGGCGGTGAAATTGTTGTGGTAGTCGTCGGTGGTAATGAGTTTTTTTTTTTTTTTTTTTTTTATAATTTGTATTAGTCGTTGTGTAATATATTTAGGTATAACAACTACTTCATGCTATAATTGAGAATCAGGACTACAAATATTACAAATTGGGAACGTGTTAAGTGTTAATTGTTGATTGCCTCTGCCTCTGATTGTGGTCTCAATTGATTGTTATTGTGGTCTTTATTGATTGTTATTGTGGTCTCTATTAATTGTTTTGAATTACTGTATTATTGTGGTTGGGGTTCCCTGATGGTGGGTGACTAAGGGTTATAGGTGTTTTTGTTTTTTTTGTGATCGATTTTTTTCTCTCCCCCCTTTTTTCTTTCTTTCTCTCAATTTATATAGAGCTCCAGTTCTATGTGGCTGGGAGGATGTAGAGAGGTGGTTGGGAGGCTGTAGGGAGGTGGCTGGGAGGCTGGCTGGAGGGAGCTGTAGGGTGGTTGGAGGCGTTTACACGTATGTCTTTACATTTTTGGACTCAAGGCAGTCCAATCAATATCTCCTTCTCTGCAAGTTGGCTTAAACTATTAAAGTCAAGATGACCAAACCTTAAATGTCTTAACCAATTATCATTCGAGACTGGTGTTGCATAACACAAGTTATTCAATACTGAAATATCAACTAGAAAAACTCTATTCTTACTCAAATGTTTCTTCAAAATCGGTATTTCATTTTTATCGATGATTCTCAATATTTGCTCCCTTGATCTCCAATCGATCAAATACCCTTTCTGAAGTAGTTGTCTAATATTCAACCGGTTGTGCTTTATGGCTAGAACATAAAGTACATTTGAAATTATTGCAAATTTGTCATCTCTTCTTCTGATTATGGTTCTACCTAAGGATGACAATTAACTCGTACTCGTGGGGACCAACACGTCCCTGCCTCGAGTTCGATGGGAGAAAACCGAGTTAACCGGGGGCGGGGCGGGGATGGGTAATGCAATCCCCACCCCGACCCCGTTCTCGCGCCACGCCTTAACTTTTATATTTAAATTTTAAAATATTAATATTCTAAAAGTATTTTCTTTCTTTTTGTATTACATATAAGGTCATTTTTTTTATATTTTACCATTTTTACTTTTCTTCTACCCCACTTTTTAATTTGTTTATCTTTTTTAATCTTTTATATCAATTAGTTTATTACATTGTTCTCTCTCTTACCTTTCAGTTTTTCACATTTCCTTAATTTCTCCAATCAATTTGTTTTTATTTTTCAATCAATTTGATAAATACAAAGTTAATTTTTTTCCTTTTTATCTTTTTCTAAATATTTTATATAAATCTTAGTAGTAATTAATATTATTTTATTTATAATTTATATTTATTAGGTTTTATTATGTCATATTTTTTTTATCTTGTTATTCTTATTTATCATATATCAAATTTTATCTTAATAAAATAATTATATTTTAAAGTATTAAAAAAATTGATAATTTAAATTTTTTGAACTAATTAAATAAGAATTAACTTATTAAATATTTCCTTATAAAATATATATTTTATATTTTTAAATGACAACTTAAAAATGAATTAACTTATATATGTAATACAACATAATAATAATAATAATAATAATAATAATAATAATAATAATAATAATAATAATAATGATAATAATAAAATAATGTTATAAACATTCTATATATATAAATAAAAAATGATAAAATATTTCTTTTACATACATATTTTAATATAAATATAATACATTAAAAATATATATTTAAATAATAATAATTATAAATTGTAAAATTATAAATATTTATTTATATATAAAAAATACATAGCAAAATTAATTTATTATAAATATAATTATCTTTTTAAAAATAATATACATCGAGACGAGAACGGGGTGGGGGCGGGAACGAGGATGGTTAAAAAAGTTGGGGACGGAGATCGGAGAGGCAAAACTCACTCCCATCGGGCCTCGTTGTCATGCCTAATTCTACCTTTTCTTTCACAGTTCACTATCAAATTATCTGCAAATTTTACCTATGATTTATCCTCTTATCGAGATCGACGAACCAACTTTTTTGAAATGACAAATGATTCGAACAACCAATTTCCAAATACTAAGATTCACCAAAAGTCTTTACTGATTTCGTCATAGTCACCATTAATAGTACTTCATCCTTCCATTCTTTCTTTTGTGCAACATTCGTATCTTCTTCTTTGCTCCAACAAGAAGCAACATAATGACCATAATTATAACAGTTGTAACATTGTACATTCTTCTTACTCGCATTAAAGTCTGATCGATCACCTCTCCATTATGAGTTTTTATCTCTGCCACCTCTTGATTGTGAAGAGTTCTCCTATTTCCCTTCTGAGTTTTGTCCACCATTATTTCTACCTCTTCCTTGTTTTCGACCTCTCTTGTTTGATTTTCCTCGATTTCTTTCATTCTTCTGATTTTGCTTTGTCAACAACGTCTATTTTGTGTTAGACCTTTCTTTCACTCTCTCACATAATTGTTGTTCGTGAGCCTCCACTAATCCTTATAGTTCATCAAGTTTTAATAAATCGAGATCCTTAGACTCTTCGATAGCTACAAAAATTATGTTGAACCTAGCATCAATAGTTCTCAGCACCTTTTCCACCACCACTCGTTCTTTCAAGCTTTCACCACAAGATTTTATCATGTTTGTGATCGACAGTAATCTTATAAAGTATTCTTGGATGGTTTCTTGCGTCTCCATCTGTAAAAACTAATACTGAAGACGTAAGGTTTCAAGTCGCACCACCTTTAATCTTTCTTCGCCTACGTAACTATGCATCAATATATTTCATGCTTCTATCAACGAGTTTACCAATGAAATCTTCTCAAAGTTGTTTTCATCAACACACTGGTGAATGTAGAACATAATTTTGCAATCACATTTATTTTTCTCTTGAAACATCGCATGCTATGCCTTAAGTGAGGTTCTCCAGTAGCCCTTCATATCCATTCAAAACTACGTCCAAAACTTATTGAAAATAAAAAATGACATTCATCTTCACATACTAACTATCGTACCCATTCAGATTCTTGTTGTCAAGCACTGACATATTGTCATGCAACCCAGTTCCTGTTATCGTCATTCTTCTTCTCCTTTTTTTTCTTTTTTCCTGAATCTTGAGGCTTTTGATACCCCTGGAAAAAAGTCTAAAAACAAGTATAAAGAGAATATAAAAAAAAGAGGTACACTCGAGTAGTGGCGGATCTTGACCATTGATCTTGGGGGACCAAATAATATATTATTAATAAATAATAAATAAATATAAAATAATATATTATTAGTAAATAATAAATAAATATAAAAGGAAGAAAGAAGATGAAAGGGTAAAAAGATAAAATTGTAGATATATATTTAAATATATTAAATGATCATTAAGTTTGAGGGAGACAAAATCATAAATTACATGGGAGTTACAAAATTGAGGAGGAGCGATAGAATTGTAAATATACAAGTAAATATATTAAATGTTTATTAAGTTTTGGGGGACCAAAATCATAAATTACATGAGAGTTATAAAACTTTGGGAGGGTCACGACCCCTCAGACTCCCAAGAAGATCCGCCATCGAGTATAATAATATTATAAAAACTAAAGTATACCATCATATTATTAAAATAATACATAGACTTGATAATTATAATAGTCACTTAAATTTATTAAGCTAAATAAACTAATTGAAATCAATACAACATTATTTATTTTTAACACTTTTCATAATACACTTGATATATTAGGAATAAATTTTTTTTAAAATTAACTCAATTCTATTATCGAACCCTTCACAGGAACAAAGACTAATAGTTTACCTCTAGCTATTTTGGATTATTTTATATAATTTATAATTTAAATGAGTATAAATTAGTCTGTTTCGTAAACTTTTGTTTATAATTTTTTAAAAATAATATTATTTTATTAAAATATATACATAAATTAAAATTTATATATCAAATAATTATATTAAGTTATTACATTTTTAAAACTTTGGATTTAAGATTTTTTTAAAATCAAATCAAAGTCAGTGCCTCTTTTACCCGTCCTAATTATATTACAAGTTTACTTAAGTTTTTCGAATATGCTTATTTTTAGTTGAAGTTGTTTGATGTAACATGACTCTTAACACTTTTTTTTTTTTTTCATTTTATATATGTAACATGATAAAATAATGTATATTTAGGGGAAACACCTCAAATACTTCTTCAAATATACATTTTTTTAATCTTATATATTTTGATTGTTTTGCATAAATTTTAAAAATTGCCTCATTTTAATGACAAAATGGTGCATTGAAGGCTTGTTATATTCAAACTTAAAAAAAAAAAACTTGTAGGGAAAAAATAAGTAGAAAAAATTGAAATAAATTTCGTCATATATTAAAATTAATTTATATTTTCACTGTTTTTTTTTACTTATACAAAGTTAGTTTGAATTTAGGAATAATGTTTACCTCTAGAAATCTTTAAAAAAATTATCAAACAAACTTAAGGATTTTTTTTTCTTGTGAAGATACATTCGTTACCCTCTATTTGAACAGCGAATTTACTTAAGTGTTAGGGAGTATTTATAAAAATTGTAGAACTTCACCTCATCACATAATATAAAAATAATAGCAAAACACTTAGTGAAAAAAATAATAATACTCGAACTCTTTTAACATAAAAAGTTAAATCTATATTACACTAACTAAAGTAATTAATGCAATTTATGAAACCTTTTACACTGGACTGATTCACATCAATTTATTAGCATGTAGCTGCTTCAGTTTGACACTTCAAATAATGGCGACCATTTATGATGATGTAGTCCTTTTATTCTTGCGACCACGAAGTGGCCGATTAAATTAAAGGATCTCTAATCAAAGCTGTAACCAAACAAGAAAAAGATGTGTGTGAGAGCATCTTCTGTATATTGTCTATAGCATAGGCCTGCTTCGTCAATGACCGCAGGGCCAATGCCACGTCAAATAATTGAAAATTGTTTCCTCATATACATGACAGCACACACTTGTTTAATTTATTCCAAGAGTCATGAACTTTTGCAAGTGATTCCTTGAGCACCCCATTAACCTTGCTGCCATCCAACATAGATTCTCCTGCATGTGGTGCATCATAAGTGGAGTGTCTCTTAAACCACCTTAAAATCTGACACCTGCTGCCATGTTTTGATCATCCTTCTTCAATATTTACCATCTCACTGTCCTATAGCTACCCTTATTGAACATTATAATGGCTTCAGAGGAGGTCTCTTTTGATGCTAGCAACAGCCAAGGAAACTCTTCCCCAGAAATCCCTCCTACCAAATCCAACATGGGGAAAGAACTAGCCAGGAGAGCTCTCTTAAGGTCTCATCTACGCAAAAATGGGAGAAGAAAAGTTGCAAGTAACAGTGCTAAATCATTGCCAAGCAGGTTAAGTAAAGTTTCTCTGGGAGAAGATTCTGCTGAATAAGTCATGGATAGGTATGGAACTGCCCAAAATGTATAATTCCATATTGTAATAAGAGATGAAGCATCTAGAATGCTAGCATATGATTGATGCCATGAATGTAAATATAGAAGTTCCAGATATGTCTATATAGCAATGATCAGGATTCATTTGCAAACAAATGGACTGGCAGTTACTCTGATAGGTTCAAATTATAAAGAATTTTTGAAAAATAGCTAATAATAAATTACCCCAATTGATCATTTACTGCGTCAACAATGATGTCGTTACTATTATTCATTTGCATGACAGAGAGAAACAATTTATTGAAGGGGTTCCAAAGAGAAAAATATCATTTGTTGGGATAAGAAATCAACTTCAAGAAGGCTCTGATTGTCATAAACGCGATTAGAAATCTTGATACCAGCATAGTTATCAATCCCATCATATAAACATACATATTCATATAGTGCCATATCAACTCACAGATTAAGTGAAATATCATGCAGTTTATAAATATGCATACAACAAAAATTTTATACAATATGAAGCCAATTAACATCTTTTACGTGTACACATACAAGCAGTTTATTGTCAACTACAACTTTTAATGTAAAAACTGGAACCTACATGACAGCCGCCATGATTGAAACCAGTATATATATATAAAAAAATCGATTATCGCTGCACATGTACAGAAAGTACAGGAAATTTTTTATGTATTTAAGTAAATCAAAATTTTCATGCTTATACAGTGGTGCAAATAGCACCGAAAACTTCGCTCATATAAAAAGTAGGAGGCACCATGTGTATCACTGGAGTGGAGGAAAGGAGTGAAGAAAATATAAAAAATGTGTATTACATGCATGAAATAAAGAAAATGCATTTATGTACCCCCAAAAAAATGCATTTACTTTGTACAGCAATACTACTTCCACTCACTCTACATGTACCCTCCTAACGCATCTCCACTCATATTGTCACCCGCCATTATTGAGCAATCTGATGCATCACGTCCATATTGAGCACATAAAGGCGCGGAAAGCTGCCTGCGCTTCCTTGTGAGATCGACTCCATCTCTGGCCCTTCTTTCCTTGAGCTTTCCTGTAGTGATAGAATCATGGGGATTTGTGATTGTAAAGCCGTGAATCATTCCATCAGTATCTTCTACCTCTGGTAGGATTAATGAATCTGATGGATAACTATATGCAATGTCATTCACCCCATGTGGGGACCTAGGAAGGGCTTTGATGCGTGATAGCACCATGGAAATTTGCTCGCAAGCAACATCCAGGCGTTCCTCAGTTTCAATGGATTCCACTAAAAATGTTGAAACCATGGATTCTAAAAATTGGATCCGTTCAGGCTGATCCCTACTAGTTGTACCCCGGAAGTGGTTAACAGAAGACGAATTGATGCCTCGCCATCGACCTGGTAAATATTGATCAGGGATGTGAAAACAGTTATTAGTTGACATGACACGTAGTACATGTCTACATAAGATGCCTGAAAACTCAAACAGATGGCAGCTGCAGCTGATGTGCTCTTGACAGGGAACCCAAAATACTTTGCACCCTCCGTCTGACTGAGAGTGGTGTCTGACCTGGAAGCAACCTTCATCAACCAGAAAGGATGCATATTGTGGCGCCAAAACTAGCTCTTCCTGTAGTTTACATAACGAATATGAAGTAAGTACAGTGGCAGCATGGGATTCAATAGGTGAGCCAGTTTTGAGGCAAACTTTCTGCAGTTTCCTTTGCATCTTTTGCTTCGCTCCAGCTCGGTCATTAAAATCAACAATATCAGTCACCTGCAAAAAGAGATATTTAAATATGGCATAGCATACCAATAAATAAAACTAAGGAAAACAAATTATATATCACAGACTTGCTCCACAAAGCGGTCTAGTTGAGATTGGGCACTCAAGAAACGTTGGATGAAAGCATTAATGGACTCAGATTGACATGTACTGGTCAATCCTGCAAAGAAGTAACGCCTCAAGAATGGTAAAGCCCAAAATGCCCTTAATGAATATAGGCTAATAATATGTTTATTTGCGTGGAGTCCATATTTATCAACCATTTGTCTCCAGCCTTCTTCAAAATCTTCCACCAGTTCCAAATTGAAGAGCCGGTGAAACTCAGCTTTCCACTCATCATATTGTGATCCAAGAAGTAAAGAAAACCAGTCAGAGAACTTCGAAAGAATATGCCATATACAAAAGGCATGTTTAGTTTCAGGCAATTCAACTGCAATAGCTTCTTTCAGCCATGTGTTGTGATCTGTCAATATTGTTTGTGGAGCTTTTCCTTTCATGAACCCCAAGAAAGCCTGCATAATGATGATTAGGCTAAAAACAAAAACAAAAATGAAACAGTCTCACAAACATCATTTAAAGGAAACTTAGGGTATAAATATTTGCACAAAGTATCAGTCAATGGATTGCATCATTATTCTACTATCAAGAAAAAAAAAATTATACCTATCAACGAATCAAATGTTGAAAAGAAAAACTGCGTTCAAGATTTTTCTGTTCAACATTAAGGGTTTTGTTTACAGGAGTTATTAGAGCTCATGTTAAGGTTCATCACCTTGGAAATCGAAACAACACTTGATACATTCATCTTCAAATAAAAAGGGTAATTCAATGACGAGAGTCAATGCTACTTTTAATTCTTAACTTGTGCTCACATGTTAACCAATCCCTATTATTTATTATATGATCTTACTAATTTATATTTATACAGTTAAAAAAATTGCTCTTGGATTTTATTTAGCAAAAACATTATCAAAAGCTAATAAATTGTGGTTTTGGCATAGTAAGTTAAGCCTACACTAGGCAATTGAGAAATCAAATACAAGATTATCAAGTTAAAATATCACAAGGTTCTTGCCTTTAGAGCCCATGAAAAAGACTGCATGTTTTCATCCCGCAGAAGTGCACAACTAAAGAAACAAGTCATGCCGTTATTGTCCACACCAAGCCAAATTCCCAAAAGCATGTCATAAGCATCTACTCGGTAGGTTGTATCAAAAACTACAGCATCACCAAATGCCTCATATGATTGAATGGATGAACTGTAGGACCATGCAATATGCTCAAGCCTGTTATTACTATCTATCTTGAATTCATACTTGAAGTTGTGGTTTTCATCCTTTAACCTCTTGCACATGGCAATCAAATCAATGGCATCATTATCTCTATCCACATTTCTGAAAGACTGCAACAGGTTTCTTACATCTATCTCTGTAAAAGGAAGACAACCAAGTTTGATGCCTTTCTCTAGCTCCATCAATCTTAACATTTGCCTTACTGACATTCCAGCTTTAGCAAACATGCATATACGACTTTTGTCATCAGGAGAAATTGGACAATATGCTGGAAGAAGGCGCACCTCATTGGATTTTAACAACTCATGATTGTGTATGTTCCTAAAACCAGTAACACGCCATTCAGGGACATCAAAATCTGCCCTTTTCACAATACGCATGTATGCTTGGCAACCACAGCGAGATGATTTGCGGTTCCTTTGCACCTTTCCATCATCAGAAGGTTTAATCTGGGGATAACCACCACGATGGCAAGTAAAATCCCTCCTTGTAACTCCCCTGCCAACCCCATCTTTCCCTCGAGTTCGGTGTCGTCTAATTGAAAAGCCACATTGTTTAGCAAAACTGCAATAAAATTCATAAGCTGCTTCTTGAGATACAAATCTTTGACCAATAAAAGGAACAAGGTTGACAGAAGTTTGTCTTGACAAAATTGTTTCCTCTGCTGTTTCCTCAATGGTGTCAATGTCATCCTGAGACAAATCTGTGCCATTTTCAGATGACTCCAGCACCAAACTGGTTCCTTCCGACATTCTTGTCTGTAGTAACAGCCCAATTGGTTTGCAGAAGTTTAAACCTGCAAGGCCAGCAGACGAAGAAGATATCACCACAACACACAGTTACTAAGCTTATGACTTCAAATATAAGAACTTAAATTACTTAAAATACTCAATGATACAGGTAAGTTTAGATGCTATATCTTTCACATGCTAGCTCTGAGGTTAACAATTGATGAAGAGTATAATCTAATGGAAAATTGTAGCACCGAACACGAATAAATAACAATAGAAGGGACCAGAGGGAACGGGGTCCCTGTACATGGCAAGTAACAGAACTTTTAAACAACACACCCTCTCTATATTTCAATTACAAATACCTTTCATTCAGTAAAAGTGAGTGTTAATCGCAACGCCAAAACCAATCAGAGTTCATACTAACAAACTGAACTTATCTACTAATAGTTGCTACTATAACAACTATTATGCTCACTCTCTACTACCACTTCCCAGCACACAATTATCATTCTCCAATGTCAATGATTCTCATGTGGGTCTCCCCAAAAAAAACTGCCATATAACACAATTTAAGTTCTCATAACAATGAACTCATACTTAACTCTCACAGATCCAAATCCATTTATCCAACATCTCAGCCAATCTCAACCCCATTCCAGACACTGAGAAACACACCCAAAAACACAAAGCAGAAATCCACAACGAAAAAACAACGAGTAAATAAATTCAAACCAGTAATCAACACAGGTGAAAAAACAAATTCAAAAAGGGTTCAGTTTAACAAATTGAAAATTGAACATGACACCATAATGGCCATAAAGCATACCAGGTAGAATCGTTGGGAGTAAGAGGTTGGCTCAACGGTCAATAACAAACTACAAAATTTAAGAACAGAAAAAAATAATCAAAGAAAAAGAAATGAAGGTAGAAGTGGCGGGGAGGGTTGAGGAGTAAAGCGCATCCCATGGAGAACGATAACCATTTACAGGGTAACAAATCTTATCATGCGCCGTGGATGCACAGTGTTATCGAGCGCATCGAGTTATCATCGGCCGTTAGATTAAAATCCAATTATGTATGTAGTAGGCTTTCCATTGTTTTATGTTTTTCGTGAAATACTTGGTCTGGGCTCATCAGCTCATGGGCTTGATCTTATGTTAGTTCTTGAGAAAGCCCAGTTGTACAAACCCTCGTTTTTTCACATTTATTTATTTTATGCCAAATTTTATTCCAATAGTATTCTTATATGTCTGATTGAAAAATATGTTATTGAATTTATCGTTTTAAAATTGAAATTAAGAAAAAAAGTTTTCTAAAATAATGTTAGGTATCAGACAAAAGCATAAGTATACACAACTAAAATAAAAAGATGAGAAAAATACCGATATTAAACAAAAGAGTAATTCTACTAATGAAAAAAATTACAATCATTCTCTCTCTATCTCCAAAGAGGAAACAATAACACTCTCTTCTGAAAATAAAGAAAAAACAACTCTAAGAGAACCTAGAAGGAGATACTATTTTTCTCTCTTAATTTATCTCTCAAGTACTAAAACAACAAGAGAAAGAAAAGGAAGTGATTTTGGTGCATCTTATAAGATAAATATTGTGCTCCTTTTATAATAAGAAAAGGAATTGTCAAACTAAGATTTCCCTTATGTGAAACTTTTCTTCTCACCATCTCCCACTTGAAGATTTTGATTAAATTAATCAAATCTTCACACTATGTTTGCTTTATTATTGTCATCCATGTTACTTATTTTAACGCTAGGTCATAATAGGATCGACTCCATACAAACTTGTTAACACTAACCGGCTTTGTCATAACATCTGCTAGGTTCTCATCTGTGTAAATCTTTTGCATATCCATACTTACATCTTCTACTGCTTCTCGAACAAAATGATATCTTATTCCTATGTGTTTTGTCCTGGAATGAAAGGCTAGATTTCTTGCAATGCACAAGATACTCTAACTATCACAATACACAATAATTTGTTATTGCTTGTGCCCGAATTCCTCCATTATCTTCCTAATCCAAATAGCTTCCTTACATGCTTGGGTGACTGCCATGTACTCAGCTTCTGTGGTAGACAGAGCTACAACATCCTGTAACTTGGATAACCAACTTACTGCCCCTCCTGCAACTGTAAATACATAACCAGTAGTAGATCTCCTTTTATCCAGATCACTTGCAAAATTTGAATCAACATAGCCTCTGACAACTAGTTCTGATCCTCCATAACATAATGCAACACCTGAGGTTCCTTTAATGTATCTAAGGATCCTCTTTATAGCACTCCAATGCTCTCCACCAGGATTTCTCATGAATCTACTAACTACTCTCACTACTTTCTAGTCTTGTACAAATCATGGCATACATAAGACTTTCCACTGCTGATGCATACGGTACTCGAGACATTTCCATTCTCTCCGCTTCATTGCTGGGACTCATACTTGAGGATAACTTACAATTGATAGGAAGTGGGGTAAAAATTAGCTTGCAATTTGAAGTGCCGCAAGATTTTTAGTAAGTAATTCTTCTGAGAAAGTCAAACCTTCTTTTTTTTTGTCTCTGTGAATTTGCATCCCTAAAATCTTGTTTGTTGGTCCCAAGTCCTTCATGTCAAACTCCCAACCCAATTGTACCTTCAACTCTTGGATTTAATCTATGTTGGGGCCTACTACCAACATGTCATCCACATAAATTAACAAGATAACAAAATTATTATCACCAAACCTATTGTAGTATGTACAATGGTTTAAGTTCAGTCTATTGTAACCAAGTCAAATAATGAAGAAATCAAATCTCTTATACCAACATATGGGCGCCTGTTTTAGACCATATAGAGATTTGGTCAATATGCAAACTAAGTTTTCTTGTTCTTTAAAGTCTTCCTTCTGGTTGAAGCATATAAATTTCCTCTTCAAGATCTCCATGAAGAAAAACAGTCTTTACATCCAATTGTTCAAGATGTAAATCAAATGCAGCACACATAGCCAAATTTTGTTCTTTCTTGAATGTTGTACATCACGTACACAGGACCACAAAAAACACGTAAGGATGAATAGTCAGCTGGTTTACCTTTCCATAACTTCATTGGTGTGCTCAAACCAATGGCGGTTGACGGTGACCGATTTATAACATAACAGGCAGTTTTAACCTCTTCTGCCCAAAAAGACTTAGCTACTCCAGCTGTTCGCAACATAACTCTAGTTTTTTTTTGGAAAGTTCTATTCATTCGCTCTGCTATATTATTTTGTTGAGGCGTATGTGGGACAGAAAATTGTCTGATAATACCCTCTTGCTTGCAAAATGCTAAAAATTCTCCGTCTACATATTATCCTCCGTTATTTGTCCTCAAGCACTTAATTCTTTTCCCAGTTTCAAGTTCTACTTGTGCTTTGAATTCCTTGAACTGTAAAAACACATCTAACTTCTTCTTGATAGGGTATATCCACAATCTTCTGGAGTAATCATCGATGAATGATACAAAATATTTTGCTCCTCCGAGGGATAGTACCGGTGATTCCTACACATCAGAATGAATCAAGTCCAATATGTGTTTACTTTTAGCAGTCACTCTAGCAAACTTCAATCTATGTTGTTTGCTTATCACATAGTGCTCGCAAAAGGGTAAACTGACCTCTTTATGCCCAGGTAAGAGATTACGTTCTACAAGGATTTTCAGACCATGTTCTGGCATATAACCAAGTCTATGATGCCACATGATCACTGCATCTTCCTGACTTGTTGCTGCAACTGATGCATCCACTTCTTGCAACATATCTCCAAGCAGCACATACAAATTTGTCATAATCTTCTTTGCATTCATGACCACCAAACTCCCCTTCACCACCTTCAAGATTTCATTTTCAACATGGATCTTACACCTGATGTCATTTAATTGTCCAATGGATAATAGATTCTTCTTCAAGTCTTTCACATGTCGTACCCCTTGAACTATGCGAACAATACCATCATACATTTTAATTTTGACAGTACTAACTCTAGTAATCTCCAATGCATGGTTGTTTCCCATGAAGACAGATCCACTTGAGAATAGTTCATCAGTGTGAAACCAATCTCGGTGCGGAATCATGTGTCATGTTGCACTTGAATCCACTATCCACTTGTCATGAAACTCCTTTTTACCATTAGAGCTAATTACTGTTTTACTCACCAAAATATCTCCATCTTCCAAGGTACTTACAACACAACCTTGTGAGGTTAATTCTTCAGAGTTGTTTCCTCTATTCTTCTTCTTCCAACACTCTTTTCTCGTATGCTCTTTTTTGTCACAAAAGTAGCATTTGATTTTAGAAATCTTCTTACTTCGAGACCTCAATCTATCATTACTCGAGTCACGTTTCGTTGATCTTCCTCTCATCATTGTCAAAGTCTCTGCTTATTTGGAACTTTCGCCCTTACTCATCCACCTAGATTCTTCTTCAAGAATAGCTTCGGAGATATCTTCAAAGTGCATATTCCCACCAATATTATTATTTTTAATATTGATAATGAGTTTATCAGATGAATCAGGTAAACTCGGAAGTAGAAGCTCTGCACGCTCATTTTCAACTATGTTGAAATCTACCGCTGATAGTTGGGCAAACAAGGTATTCAAATGGTTGATGTGGTCCATCACTGATGTGGACCCACTCATCCAAAGAGTATAAAATTTTATCTTCAAGAATATTCTTGTGTGAAGTGACTTCACCTCATATAGTTTAATGAAGGTGTCCCAAATCTCCTTCGTAGTAGTCTTCTCAACAACACTCGATAAAACCGAATTTGTCATTGATAAGTGCAAATTTGCAATAGCATTGTCGTTCATTTCTTTCCATTGTCGTTCATCCGTGTGTTCCACGGTTCTTTCCATAATTGCATCAATACAATTATCCTTCCTTAAAATTGTCTTTATCTTCAATTACCATAATGAGAAATTACTCTCATTGAACTTCTCTATCTCATATTTTGTTGTCATGATTCCAAAACCAATCTATGCAATCCTCACTATGAATAGTATTGTCTGCTGGAACAACAACGGTAGACCGTGAACCAGTACACCAGGTAAGTTCCCAGAAAAGAGAGGTAGGTCACTAATGGACACACTTAAATACCAGGTAAGTTCCCAGGAAAGAGAGGTGGGTTACTAATGGACACGCTTAAATTCCAAGTCTTTTCTTGCCAGAACTTTTTCTAGACATGCACCATCACACTACCAAATAATATCCAGTAACAAAAATAACTCTTTTCTGAAGTGGAAGATCATATTAACCGCAACCACATAACATATTAAGAATTTTCTCCAACAATATTCTAATAACTATGGAGCAGAAGATAAATATCACAACCTAGTGGCTCTGATACCACTGTTAGGTATCAGACAAAAGCATAAGTACACACAACTAAAATAAAAAGATGAGAAAAATACTGATAATAGACAAAAGAGTAATTCTACCAATGAAAAAAATTACAACTTTTTTCTCTCTACCTCCAAAGAGAAAACAATAACACCCTCTCCTAAAAATAAAGGAAAAACAACTCTAAGAAAACCTAAAAAGAAAAATTATTTTTCTCTCTTAATTTATCTCTCAAGTACTAAAACAGCAAGAGAAAAAAAAAGAAGTGATTTTGATGCATCTTATAAGATAAATACTATGCTCCTTTTATAACAAGAAAAGAAAGTATTAAACTAAGATTTCCCTATAACTTTTCTTCTTAGAAAATATTCATCACGCAAGAAATTTGCTTCATTCAGTAGACACTTTTTCAAAGACCTATCCTTTCAAAAGGGTTCTCTTATATAAGAGGAATTATCATAAACCAAGTAAGAAAATATTGTTTTTCCACCAACTTTATCATCTTCACTCCACTCTCAATTCAAAGGAACCCTAAACAATCACTACTAAAGGTTTATAATTTCTCCCAAAACTCCCAAACACTCATTTATCAATCCCTTCGTAATGTCATTGCAACCATTCTTCCCCTTCAATCATGAATTGCACCTAAGTCACTGTCACTGTCACACGTGCACCACTGATCCTTCTTCTGCTTCATATGGAGCCCCATAGCGTTGCTTTCTCCGCCATCATCATGCTGCATAATATAATCATTGCTGTTGCATTGAATTGACCCAAGTAATTTCATAGAAGCTAAAAGAAAATTCATGTCTCACAAATTATACACACCTCTGAATCATTTTTCTGCTATATAATTCATACATTAAGGAAGTAATTTGAAACAAGCTGAAAGAAAATTCATATGTTAAGTTCAAAACCAGTAGCACGAGCCTTAAACATGGTGGATACAGGGTGTTACCTAAAAACATATGTGGCATGATAAGGAGGCGAAGCTCCGAATTGTTCTTGAAAACTATCATGTTCTCTTTGGAGGGGACAAAGCCACCACTAGCAAAAGTGGAAACAACAATAAACAATGAAAATTTTACAATTTTAATGACATTGTTCTTCAGAACTTGCAGCGCACTCATGTACAAAGACACCAGACTAAAGCCAACAAATTGATACAAATTGAATCTTGATGATTAATCTATGTGCATCAACCTTTTGTTGATAGAACCTTTGTTAAGGGTATATTTGGACAATTTTCATTAGCATTTTAATGAAAGAAAAAAAATTTGAAATGAACATCTTTATAAAATTAATTTATTTTAAGAAGTTAAAAAAAATTACATGAGATGATTTCTGACACATTAGTTCATGCATAAATTAACTTTAACTTGTGAAAAGTTTATTTAATTTTTTCTTGAAGAAATTTTGGTATAAGAAATTTGTCCTATTAATCACCCAAATTGTAAAATTGTCAAAAACTATTAAGCGTTTTTATATCAAGCATTAGTCCATTAATCATGTCTATGACTAATATAACAAGAATGAACTATATAAAAAAACTATTAAGTATTTTTATATCAAGCAATAATATCAATATAGTAAATTATCGATTAAGTAACAAAATAGTATCAAAAGTGAAAAAAAATAAAGAATCGAAGAAGTAATGTTTCGATAGCATATCGAATATCAACAGTGAAATTGAACTATGGAAAAATATAACAAAACACAGAAACTACAATACAATTCAAAATCGAGCACCGAATACCGAAAAATAAAAGAATAAGAGGATCGACGAGAATTAAAGATTAAAAAATCTTATTACACATTCTAATATGTCAATGAGTTATAAAAATTTATAGATGAGAAGAGAAAGAAGACCGATAAAATGGTTAAAACAAAAAATAAATTATCTTTTTTTTTAACATCCCTCTCAAGTTGGGAATAGATATCGATTATTCCTAGCTTGGAAACTAAATATATGGAAGTAGGAGGTGGCAAAGTCTTTGTCAAAATATCTATGATTTGCATGTTGGAAGAAACAAGAAGAAGTTTTATTAAACCTCTGTCAACTTTCTCTCTAACAATGTGACAATTGATCTCTATGTGTTTTGTTCTTTCATGAAAAATTTGATTGGAGGCAGTTTAAATGGCAGATCTATTGTCATAATATAATGAAGCTAGTCAAATATAGTTTATCTTTATATCATCAAGGAGACATGTGAGTCATTGTTGTTCGCAAATAATAACAAGAACACGATATTCAGCTTCAGTTGAACTCTTTGAAACAGTTTGTTGTTTCTTCAATTACTAAGATATGGGAGAATTTTCAAGATAAGTAATATAGTGAGTGGTGGATTTTTTAGTTTCAGGACAAGTAGTCCAATTTGGATCACTATAAGCTTTAAGTTGTATATCACTGTTAGCAGAAAGAAATATACCTTTTTTTGCAGAGAATTTTTAAGATATCGAAGGATTCTTAAAGTAGCTTGATGATAATTAGTAATAGGAGCAAAGATATGTTAATTAAGATGATGAATAGTTAAGTAATATTAGGTCTTATGTTAGTTAGATAGATGAATCTTCCTATGAGTCTTCGATAAGATGCGATGTCTTCTATAGGTATTCCTTATGTACAGGCAATCTTTGTGGAATGATTCATAGGAGTTTTAATAGGAGCACAACATAGCATACCTGTGTCTTTGAGAAGATCGAGAGTATATTTATGTTGACTCAAATGAATTCCTATTTTATTTCTTGTAACTTCAAATCCAACAAAGTATGTTAAATTTCCAAGGTTTTTAATTTTAAAGGTCTCATTTAATAAATAAGTATTTCTATCTATTTCTGTAAGATATTATTTGACTAAGATAATATCATTTACATAAACCAAGATTATAATTTTACTATTACCTTTTTTATTTAAAAATAAATGGTGATCTGTTGAAGAATGTATGTATCCATGAGATAGAAGGAAGCTAGAGAGTTTCTTATACCATTGTCTACTTGCTTGTCATAATCCATAGAGATATTTATGTAATTTGCATACCTGATTCTTAATGTCGCCAACCATACAAGGAGGGATACTCATATAAACGTCTCCATGTAAATCTTCATGCAAGAACATGTTGTTGACATCTAATTGTTTTAGATGCCAAACTTTATCGCAACCATAGATAAAAGCATTCTGATAGTTGTGAGTTTAGCAACAGGGCAGAAAGTATCAAAGAAATTAAAACCTTCAAGTTGAGTGTACCTTTTGCTACAAGTCTAGTTGTATATCTATTTATGATTCCATTATTTTTATGTTTGATTTTATATACCCATGTACACCCAATGGCAGTTTTATTTTGAGGAAGTGAAGTGAGAGTCCAAGTATTATTATTTTCTAGATCATAACTTTCTTTTAACATAGCTTTTCTCCAATGTTCATGCTTGCAGGCTTCTTCATAAGTTTTAGGCTCTTTGGTAGTGTCAATGTTAAGTATAACTTGTTTGAATGTAGATGACCGTTTATTATAGGAAATGAAATTTTTGATAAGACATTTCTGACCTTTTACAGTTGTAACATAAATCTTTTAGATGAGTTTGAGGATTTCTGATGCGAGTGGTTCTTCTCAAGATAGGAACAGAAGAGATACTTGTGTCATTTTGAATTGATGTAGTGTCTTGTGCAGTATCACTTGATTGAGTCAAGGATGCATCATCAATGGATGTGTATCATCGATCAATTGACTCAAGACACATTCTTATGTTGTATCGATCGAATTGGTTCAGGACTTTCTACAATATCAATCGATTGAGTGTGAGCTCTTTTGTCCTTGATTTTGATGTCTTTGATTTCTTAAGAGTCAATATTTACATTGAACCTCTCTCTGGGGGGTATACTATGGTTTTTCTTTTCAATTTTTTTAAGATATGAAAAAGTTTTTTGATAAAATATTACATTCTTTGATATAATTATATCTCTTGTTTTTAGATTAAAAATTAAATATTCTTCTATATTACTTTTAAAACCCATAAATATGTCAGGTTCAACTCTTGGATCGAGTTTCTTTCTATTAGCAGTAATAATGCTAATGTAAACAAGACATCCAAATTGTTAAGTGGTAAAAAGTTGATATAATTATGCCTTAAATTGTTATGAAACCATTTAACTTATGTTAATTCTAATATATTTTTCTCCCAATATAGGATGAATTCGAGAATACCTTGATACAAGAGTAAGGAGCATATTTGTCAGCATAATTAGAAAAAAATTGAAAGAAAGAAGAATGCTTAAGCAAATGAATGATGCAAGGCCTGACCCAAATTCTCTTATAAAAAGATAAGATGTGTTTTGAGAAAGGAAGCGGTTTTGGAGGAGAAGAGGCGCGACTACTGTTAAGGTTTCGTCTAATCTTCATCAATTCTTCACTTCTTCATCAATTAGAGCATTGTAATAGCTAACATGAGTGGCTAACTTCATTCTCTTAGGATTCAGTGCACTTCCTTTGAACTCTTTTATATCATGGTGATATTTTGAGATTTTAATCTATGTTTTGATGTTGTTATTCTTATCCTTTATGTTTGAGAATGATTTATTCTTGATGTTTGGGGTATGATTGGAAAATATATCTTGAACCCTAGATCACGGTAAGAATATTTGTTACGTTAATTGTCAGGAATGGAATGAATGTATCAATTGCTTAACACCCTAACCCTAATGCTAGAAAATCTCTTAATTGTGTGAGGAATCAACATGGATGATTTGAGTAGGTGGCATCAACATTGTTAGGTTAATTGACATTCTTAATTGATTTAACCATTACAAAAGAGGGATAAGGAAGGAAGTCAATCCTAAGTACCTTTAATTAATATTTTCTCAACAATTTATAGTTCTTTGTCATTTAATTTCAATTCAACTCTTATTGCAAAACCCAATCTGTTTTAATCCACTTAGTAAGCATAATTGGAAATTTTTATTGAAATTGTTCCTCGTGGGATAGACTTTTATTTAATCGAAATATTATACTGCGATTGATAATTTTGGTACGCTTGACAATAATTCAACAAGTATTTCTGGCACCACTGCCGGGGAACGGTGTTCTTTGAGAATTCTTTGTTTAGCTTATTGAGTATTTTATTTTTATTTTTATTTCTGTTTTCGTTTTATTTTTCAGTTTTAGTTTTTTTTTTTAATTATAATCTTGTGCTAATCTTTGCTTGAGTTACTCTTTTGATTTATGCGTTTAAGAGGACAGGTATCTTCAGAGCAGTTAGAATTTAATCCAGAGATTGAAAAAACAACTCGGAGGAATCGGGGTAGAAAAAGAAGGAAAACTCAAGAACAAGCCACAAGAGAATCTGTTAATTCTTTTTTCACACTTGATTTACCAGATCCAATTATAGAAGGTATGGCGGAAGAAGGAGCAAATCTGAATCTGAATCCAGATCCAAATATTAATCCAAATCAAAACCCAAATTCAAATTCATCTAGAAGAACTCTTAGAAACTATGCTATGCAGCAAGGTCCAAGACACTTTTCCAGCATTGCCATACCGGATGATCAAACATTGCAGATGAATCCAACTTTCTTAAGTTTGATTAGTGCTCATCAATTCACTGGATTGGATCATGAAGACCCTTACATTCATTTGTCTACTTTTTATGAGTTGATTGGTACCATGAGATTTAGAGCAGCAAATCTTGAATCTACATATTTGATATTATTTCCTTTTTCTTTGGCAAGTATGGCAAAGGAGTGGCTGAAAGCACATCCTAATCAGAGTTTAACTAATTGGAGTAGTGTAGAAGAGAAGTTTATGAATAGATTTTTCCCACCATCCCGTTACATCAAAGCAAAATCTGACATCACTTCTTTCAGACAAGGAGCAGATGAACAATTTTGTGAAGCATGGGAGAAATTTAAATCACTATTGAGAAGTTGCCCAAATCATGGATTTGATGACGTTTCTCAGTTGAATATTTTTTATACTGGCTTGCGACATGATGCAAAGATGCTATTAGAGACTGCAGCAGGATGATCCATGTTGGATGTAGAAATTGATCATGCCACCAGAATTATTGATGCACTAGCCTTTACAGACCAACAGACCCAACATGATAGACATCCAATTCAAAGGAAGGGAGTTCTTGAACT